TGAATAAGCTTTACAACCCATGTTTTTTAATGTTAATATTCCATGGCGTTAAAAAGTTGTTATAAAAAAATCAAAGGGGTTGTGAATTTCATCCCCTTAGAGGGGGCTAGGGAAGTTTTAGGTATGGTCGAAAATAAGGTATTAACCAGTAGTACATACATACAAAATTTCAAATTCTACGATTTACTTATACCCGAAATAAAAGATAAAATGTAAATTTTTGGCTCAACTTTGACAGCTCATAGCTCGACAACAAAAGAGTTGCAACCCTATGTTTATATAAAAAACTTGTGTTATTTTGGCAAGTACTACGTCCTAGTAAAGTTTCCCGATTAAAAACTGAACCACCCTGTATATGTATATACAGAATGTTTCAGGTTTTTGTAGCAGGACTTTAACAGTCGATAGATCTTTTAAAATTAGCACAAAACTTCATATAAACATAGGTCGACAAACGCTTTGTTTTGAAGATATATTTTGAAAGTGTTTAAGTTAAATTTTTTAATTGATTTTTATTTAATATTACACATCAATTATAAAATGGATAAAGGTCGAAACCTTTTAGATCTCTCTCTAAATATAATACCGACGACCCAGGTCACCTAATCTACATTTTCTGGATTTTTTTTTATTGAAAAGAATTACGTTTGTCCATAGATTCAGATTTTGCAATCAAAAATATAGGGTGCCATTTAAAAAATTGGTCGTGACCTTGATTTTTGAATTTGTGCACGAATTTTGCTCACGTTTTCTTACTTCTAGCAAAACTTTTAGCTTTCTGCACTGTTTTTTCTCTTTTGGTGATTATCTTGTTTATTACCTTATCACAAGTGTCTCGCGATCTTCCACTTTTCCCACTCTCTTGCTTCCTTGTTCACCGTACTCTCTGTAGATGTCCCCACCAACTGAGCTGCCTCTTTTCTATAAAATCGTTCGGAACCTCAATATTTAACTCTTTCCTTATGTCATCATTCCTAATCTTGTAGCTCTTAGTCACCCTCTTTAGTCTTCTCAGGTATATCTCCCTCTTTTTCTTTTCATTCGCATCCACATTTCACAACCTAAAATTAAGATAGGTCTGTTGCTGGTTCTATGATGCTTAGACTCAAGTTCATGACATTTTGCTGTCTAACTGGAGACCAAGTTCTTTCAGAAATATACGCCGTTTCAAATAACTTTATATATAACTTGAGTATTTACTCCCGCGATATTTAAAAATGAGAAAAACCAAGTTAAAGGCTAACGACGACTGCTCCTTGCTACGCTATAACTAGCAATAATTCGTATGTAGAATTACAACTATAGCAGCATCTTGATGTAAAGTAGAAAATAGAATGACAGGTTTCGACTTTTTTGGGGACATATGACGCTGACATCTCTTTTTTAAGGCGAATGAATGTCTATTTATTATGTCGCTTATTCTACCTGATTGTTTCAACCAATGTGACTTGCTGCTTTTTGAGTGGTATATTGCATTTTGTTCCAGATATTGGTTCTATCAAACTTGACTATACTTTGAGGTTTGAAAATTTAATTCTACTACATGTGGAACTTTCAAACCCTAAGTTCCAGAAAAATGTCAATACTACAACATTCTTCAAAATAGATGAAGATTGCAATCAAACAAAAAATGGAGCTATTACGTCGATGCCTAATTGTTATTTTTTCCTCACTCCTTACTAAATATAGCCGGAATACATGTACAAGTTATTTACTTTATATTTTTTCGACGAGATTTTGAAATCGTGTAAGGAAGTGTCCAATCCGGTTTTTATGTAAAAGATGCTTTGGATTTATGTGTGGTGACCGTTCTGTCCCAGTTTGTTTCGAATATTTTGAAGAAGTGTAACCGCATTTTGGTATTTACAAACAATAATATATTTAGTTACAATAATTTATACGAAACTATCGAAAACGTGAGAAAAATGTTATTGTTTTCGGAATTCTAATTAGGGAAAGAGCTGCGACGATTTTTTAGGTAGCGTAAGATGGTTAAATAAGTGTATTAAGAAACAGAATCTCAGTTATATGTCAACGAGCGGTGAAAGCGCTTCTGCAGTTTACAATGTAACGAGGAATGGCAAAAAGTCTTACCCTCATTAATCAGTTCATATGTTGTAAATGACATTTACAAGTAAATGACACCTAATAAAAGAATTTCATTTAAAGGTAAAAAATATTTTGGAGGTAAACCACCAGCAAAGCTAAAATGACAAAACTTTTTCTTTTAATACACAAAATTCCTTCAACGAATAGGTTCTGAAACATTGATTCTCAAGGTAGGAATTTTACGACGAATTTTATGTTATGAAGGATTTCATGTTATTTCTTAGCGTCATCACGATCGCTGTAATTAAATTTACAATAAAAGAAGATTGTGAAGAGAAACTTAAAAAATCGTATCTCACATTCAACGATTAAATCAAAACCATCTTAAAGCAACTTTAATGAAGATTTATTGTACCATAAATAATTTCTGATTTTCTATAAACCGCGTTGTTATGATAACCCAACTCTGCACATTTGCTTGTTATTGATTAAAAATACAAACTTAAAAGATCGTAAGTCCAGAATGAATTGGGATATAACGGTGGAATGAAAAAGATTTTAAAGCCAATTTAATGAAATGTTTATGTGCCATAAATAATTTCTTATGTTCCATAAACCGGGTTGTTACTATTTTTATACCAAAAAATTTTGCATATATGATTGTTATAGATTAAGAGCAGGAATTTAAAAAATCGTAAGTCCAGAACAAATTGAGATATAATGTTGAAATAAAAAGTATTTTAAAGCAAATTTAATGAAGAGTTAATTTGCCTTAAATAATTTCTTATTTTCCATAATTCGCGTTGTTATGAATTTTTGACCTAATTCTCCACATTTTCTTGTTATAGATAAGAACATAAACATAAAAAATCGTAACTCCAGAACGAATTGAGATATTATAATGATGAAATAAAAATTATTGTAAAGAAAATTTAATGCAGTTTTAATTGTTATAAATAATTTTTTAATTTCCATAAATCTGGTTGTTATTTTTTTTTAACCCAATTCTTCACATTTGCTTGCTATAGAATAAGAACAGAAACATAAAAAATCAGAGATAGATCACTTCATAAGTACTGAGTTGCCTATAACAAGTACAGTAGTTCTGACCTCTTGATTGATGTGGTGTTAAACTCGCATCGACTTCTGGTATAGTTCGAACAAGAGGTCAGGTCATGTGGTGGAATTATTGAAAAAGATTTCTTAATTGTTTTTTTCAAGTGTTTATTATATGAATGATTTGGCATAAAGAGTAATTTTTTTCTCCCAGAACAAAATGTATTCAAATTCAAATCCCAACATCAAGAAGAGAGAAGAACTTTATATCAAACTTGGCAAAAGTCTTTAACTATTAAAAGTAGCAATTGATCAAAATTTCATTTGTATTACTCAAGGATACTCACTATTCTGAAAGTATTTTTAGGGTTTTCTAACAATTTAAGTAGGTGTATGTTTTACGAGATTTTGTTCAGTTCTTTATTGTTTTCGGTTTTCCAGTTTAATTCAGGATGTGAGGATGCCTAGAGTGGAAATTACCGTCAATTATGTGAATTTAACAGAAATCTTAACAACAATGCTTCAGAAAAAGTGTCAACCAGAATCAATTCATCGACATGCGATGAGCAGAGCAGAATAAGGATGTGGGGTGAAGAAGAACAAATGAGATGTAGGACCTCCATCTTCTCACTTAGCTTTTAGATCTACTATAAATCTACTACCGGTACCTAGTTAGGTAACAAAAATCGTTCATCGTTCTGTAACCTTTCGAATGTTTGCAATTTTGTCGGCCATATCTTGCGTTATCTTATCACTAACGGCTCAACATCAACAACAACATTTGGAGTGGTGCACGTTACGGCTGCACTGGAACTTAGAGTGATATAATGTGATGTTCATGATAAATCCTGATACTGTTTGAGAATGTATGATTTCTGTAAAAGTGTCAGACGAAGGCGTGGGTTGCAATGTTGAATTTTATTTTGAGAGGCATGTGCACCAAATTGTTAACTCTATGGATGACTTATGAAAGTATATGTCGTTTGGCATCTCCGAAGCAATATGAACATCTAGCGATATGGAGATACAGCAGTTGGAAGACCCACTTTTTCAGCAGAAAGCAGAATAATGCCGATTCCCGTATTTTAAAACGTGCCAGGAACCAATTTGCAGAAGATAATGTCAATGTCTTGCCATGGGCACCCAAACTCCTAGTGGTTCGTCGAGGAATTTGTTGCATATCTTGCAGGTGCTACGAGCTTTACAGTTCAAATTATAGACTGCATAGGACACAATACCTCAAGAATCGAGATAAATGGACCATCTGTTAGAATCAATACTACGAATAAGTCAATAATTTTGGAACTATTTCTTAGCATTGTAAACAGCTAATAACATGGTCAAATTTTACATCTGATAATTGCCGCGAAAGTTCCCTTCTCCATAAAACTGACCACATATCATTAATTCTTTATCTAAAATGATGTGGTTCTTAGAGAATCTTTTTTACCACCACCATCAATTGTTGAATGATTTTAACATCTAGATGTAAACTTGATTCAATTATAGTAGGTCGGTTTTCGTTGATATTAATCCTCAAATTAATAATTTGTACCAAAAACTTGAATTTCTTTACAACAAATAAATTTACTATTATTGGTGATGTGATGATAAAGAGAAAAATTACTGTTAGTGAGTTTTTGACATGTACTTGAATTCCACGGGGAAATTTCGAAATAAATACGGCGCCACCAGCCGTGATTAACTACTGATCGATTTACGTTCAATTTATGTCCGGTCTGCTACACACCGACCACGTTTTGCAATTCCAATGTTATTTTTGTAATTGCACATGTACCTATTACAGTTTATAAATAGGCAATTCATATCAACTATTTTAATAAATCGTAATTTTCATTTTCTCACTCAAGATTTATCTTTCTTATTACAAGAAATTACTTAAAAAAAAATTTATTATTTTACCATATGGTTACAAATTTATGATAATTTCCGGTAAAAAAGGACCGTACCTATTTCAAAGAACCTCCTCCTATTACCAAGTTTATTGACGTTGTAAAGACAACTCGACGAAATTGGCCGTATTTCCCGAGATAAATCTTCGTTTTAATTAAGGATTTTGGTGCCCTCTTTGCGAAAAGTTAGGAGCCATCCGGGTACCGTTCCTGTGCCATAAAACATACCGAATGAAATAAAAGATAAAAATTTTACAAATTACTTGCGCTTACTTATTTTTTTTTAGAAACGTAAAAGTTTAAACGTTGCGATAAACATGATTAATAATGCATATGACAACTTCACAAAATTAATTAACTTTTTACGTCTATTTTAACGTTAGCGTCATGGAAATTAATTACATAAAAACAATTTGTTTTAGTGAAGGAGATTACTTAAAAGAAATGAAATTTTTGTACTAAAAATGTTAACTTTGAGCGAGTAAAAGCATTATAAATTACTTTGTTGTTGGTTATAAAACGGTGTTTGTTGCTTTATAGGTTCTTAGAATATCGATATAAATTTTATACACGAAACATTAAAAGCGTTTTCGTTTTGGATTGTTTGAAATCTTTATGAATACTTTGTTAAGAGGATATTTATTTGTTTATGCTGTTATGTTTTATTTTGTACATACATTTACTTTACCTTTATGTTTTTTTTTCTTCTTTTCGTTAAACAAATTGTCTACATCAACAATTTTTTTTGATTCACTTCAAACATCCAACACACAATAAATTTTTAAATAAGACAATCACATTGTCCACTTTTTCTTAAAAAATAACACCTACGAAATTATTTAGTTACTATTAGATGTTTTATTTATTTTCTAACACCTCATTTTTCATTAAAAATCCATAAAGAAAAAAACATTGATTCAAAAACAAACCTTTTGATTATAATTAAAAGTTCTTAAATTGTTTTAAAGTCATCAACTTTTTGCCGGATTTTTTTGGTAAATATCCGATGGTATTTTTCCCCATGAAGCGTAGCACATTTCAGGGGGACACGTGCGCCCCTTTCGGGGGCGCCTCAATCGTTTCCGATTTTTGCAATAACTTTTTGGTAAAATCTACGGTTTCAAACATACTTTGTTTTATTTATTCGTAGTCGCGAACCAGGATTTTAGTAACGAACGGGGGGTTTAACACAAAACACAGGGATGTTGTAACTTTGGGGGGTGTCAGACTGCGATATCGATTGGGGTGGCCACTACGCGCCTGTCACTAGGGGTTGTGGTCGGTAGCTAAGAAAAGACCAGTTAATACCACCCAGAGAAAAAGATTCATAAAGAATTTAAATCATCACTACGAATTTTATTGCAACAAAAAATGATTCTTCTAAATCATGGTTTTATTTTAAAATTTAAATCAAAGAAATAATATATAATTTAAAAATGTTTAGAAGGCTTTAAAGGTATTTGTATAAATTATATTTGATATATCATACTATTTTGAAATATTGAATCTAATTGATCTCAATTGAGCAAATTAGATAAAATTTAAAATGATTAAGATTTTATTCTAATCTTCTCATTTTATTTTTATTATCATTTTATTGAGAACTAATCCTTTAATTTTATATAATTTTTTTAAATAAAATAAGGCTTTCTATTTTATATACTAAATTAAAGAAAATCAAATTCAAATTAAAAAGCTTTCTATAAACTCAAAAATGAAATCTAGAACTAAACCTACAAGAATGTTATGGAACTTTCACCTTAACAACTTCACCAATAGATGGCTCAACCTCATCGTTAAATTTCATTCAATATTTTTTTAATGAATTACAATTATAAAAAACAATAAACATTGCAATTTAGCGTTAATTTTTATTTCAAACAGATACAAATAATTTAATAAGAAATATTAACATACAATCCTTATATTTTAAAATTACGTTTTTGTATACACTTATTTTAACATCATCTTATTTAGTTGTTTTGGAAAAATGTTGTTGAAGCTCTAAATGTATTTCATTAATTTCCGTTTACGCAAAATCCTTAGTACATATTTACATTAGTTAATTAAATAATTAATAGCCAAAATGGGCGATTATTGATACTGGTGTTTGAATTCTTTTTAATAAAAAATTAGACTTTTTATTAATAATTATTGTTTTTTGGTGCAGAAGACGAATATTATTTTTTATTTGTTTTATTTATTGACAGTACTGGCCTTTATGGTCTTTTTATGTTATTTTAATATTATGTATACTGATCGAATTAAATATACGCCATGTTTTGTTGTAAATAAATAACTTAATTCTACATATGAAAGTTTTGATTAAAAAAGCTTTGATTGATAGTTATAGTTTTCAAAAATTTTAACAATGTTTATCATGTTATAGTCGATACCAAGCGAAACGCGAATGACTCATCGATTTCCGTTATTTTCGCATACGGTCAGTATGCTAATAAGTTGAAGTGCGTTAGAGTGAAATGGCTTTTCATGAACGTAAGTTTTCAAGCGGTGAGTCATTCGCATTTCTGGTGGTATGGACTATACATGATAATTCACAACTTAATGTATTAATTTTTTTCATATTGATGCATTTAACGAAGAAACCTGTTTTTGAAAATTTTGTTTTGTTCCTGAGATTAATATTAACTTATAAAACCATTGCACCTTTTAACAATAATAAGTTTCTTTGTAATTTGTTAAAAAATCGTACAAGAACGATTTACTTAACAATCATTTTGAAAATTATAAAGAAAAGTGTCATCTTTTTAATGGTAAAAATCGTGTTTGAAAATTATGTTTAGTTTTTGAGAAAATAATTTATATTTTCAATCAATTGTAATTTGAGATTAAGAAATCATCAAAAAATCGATTTTTCAATCTGGACAAAGGGCAAATAATTAGAAAACTTCGGTTTTAATCGTTGATTTTAAATAACTTATCGAAAAATTGCACTGAATATGCCAAGAAAAAGAGAAATTTATGAGGAACGTTGTTTTAATCTGATTTATCCTTCTTTGTTAAATGGTATCTGCGTCAACAACTGACTTAATCTAACAACACAATATTTGTAAGTAGTTATTGCCTCAATGAACATTAGGGAAAAGGTACTCAAATCCAGAATAACGAAAAACTGGAAAATTATCTACTGTAGACGAGGAATATTATTGAAAGCAAGAAAATCGACTACTTTAAGCTTCATACTTTAGTACCTTATTACCAAAGAAAAATCATTTTCATCAACTCATGGGAATTGAACACCTTATGCTCATTTTAGGAATGGAATTCCTATAAGGTTGGGTATTTTTTTTTTATATAAATTGTATCCAAATATAATATAGAATATGTAGGTAAAGTAACTTTCCGACATTTGAAGTTATTTGGAAATTTGAGTTTTGAACAGACTCGATGTAGCTGCAACAACGCTAAATGATTAACCGCGTGTTTCTCAAAACTGTATTTTTCAAAACGGTAACCTATATGATAGCTCAAAATTTATCAAACCAATTGTTTTCATCTTATTCGATACTCATGTAGACACATTGCAAACTAGGATCATTCTGGTTTGTCAAGCCCTTTAATTTTTTTCATTGTAAGGAATTCGTAAATACCAGAATTCAAGAAAATGTATAACACGATACCAAAAACAACTTAATGTTTTGCAGATTTAATGCCGTTTGGTTTCTTATTTCTGAGCATTCAATCGTGGCCAACCCCAAAACACTATTTTTTAAAAATGAGTGGCTAAGTTACCATGCACCGGACTGCAAAAATTGTAAGCTGTGCTCAAAATATGAATATGTGGTAAAAAGTTTTTACCTTCAATATGAACATCTTAAAAATAGTACAGTAAAGACATTTGTGATTGATGTATAATGATGCTTGATTGCATAAAATAATACGTCAAATGACCATTTTAAATAATAAAGGTCAAGAACTTATTATTTTCATAAAAGTTTCCCCTTAGATGTGTTTGTAATGGTAATGTTAGAACTTGATTTTATTCATTAAAACCTCCTTATTGATACAAAGAATGTCATTTCGACATTTGGCAATGTCATTGAAACATTAAAAAATGGTAAATTAGTGCATTTTGTCAATTAAAATCGTTATAGTAATGCGAAAATTATCCATTTGATGGTTGACAGCGTCATTTAGATAGTTAATAATGATATATTAATGTTTCAAAATAGTAACGATCGACAACCCATTCAATTTGGAATTGTCATCTTTTTGAGACTGTTACTCTATGTAATATGTCATTAAATGAAAAAAATTCCCTAGAATGTTTTTTCCTTGAAAACTATAAACGATTCACAAAGCAATTTTAAATAAATGTTATGAAGAATTAAGTTATCCAACAAAATTTTAGTAGAAGTTATCGCTAAGGACATCTTTTTAAGACAATTAGTATACAGGTGAGCAAACAAACAAGGATATTTTTGATTTGGAAATACCAGACATCAAAATAACTATATTTTAACACAATATGTTTAATTCTATTGAATCTAACATATAAATTTGTTTTTCAATCAATTTCGCAATACATCGAGCAAAAAATGAACTTAGTTAATTTACTTAGTTAACTTGCATATTCGATTGCTCAAAGTTTACAGTGGCTAGTGTTGTGTTACAGACAATGTGGTTGAATCGTTACGAATTCCAACGTGGGGTTGTTACTGATGGGAAGTGTGGTGAATTAGAGGACTACAATGAACTTCGTAAGAAAAAGTTTTCAAGGTAAAACAAATTGAAAATATTTGTAGAGAGATAGGGAGAGAGAGAAACAAGGAAAGGCTTCAGAATATCAAATTCAGAATAAAATTAAAGTATTGCAACTTTATCATAGAGGGTATGATTATTCTTGAAGTTGGTGAAAGGTACCTTATTTAAGAAACTCCGATATGGATTAATCTGTCTTGTCTGATAACTATAATATTTAGATAAAACTTAGAAAATCAGCGTGATACGTATTTTTGTATATAACTTTTTGTAGTGCGTTTTAAGCTAATTACAAATTGAAAAGAAACAGAAATTAGCCAGACAGGAAGATGAGGTCTCCGTGCAATCTTAAAAGATGATGCTGGTTTGTGTTCCAGACTGGTCGTCGCGTCTTTATTTCTTTATGTAAGTAAAATAAAGGCGCGACGTCCAGTCTGGAATACACACCAGGCGAATACGGGGATTCGCTATTAACTGACGCTATTAATTGACATATTTTGGTTTAAATGGCGTTGAAAAAAGTTGCTAGCATCCTCGCAAATCGGGTCCACAACCCGTAATTGATAGCAATACAATAATAACTGCCAACGATTGAATTAATTCTTTCTTTAACCAAAACTAAACAAAATAAAGAAATAAAAATAATAGAAATGTTGCAAACAATTTGTGCTACAAAGTGCAGTGTAGACATTCAAAAACAAAAAACGATTTATTTATACGTACAAGGAGGTGAAAAAAGCATTATTCATAACCTGTATAATGTTAATAATTTGAAAATGTGTGATGAACACTTTTTTAATTAATTGGGAGCCATGTGAAAAAGCACTTGTATTATGAACGGTTTCAACTACGAATTATGATAAAGTTATCAAAAAAGAATATACAAGCAAAAGATACTACCAGAAAACGGTGCTAATTTTAGTCCAAGGAGTAGTTAAGTATACAAATAGATTCTAAGAACCAAACCCACATATTTTAACTCCATTATTCAAAAGATTGAATTTTAATGTTTTGTCATCAATTTTGTGTTAAATCATAATTTTGTGCTGTCTAGTATGCCAAATTCATTTTCTTACTTACTTTGTATAAATTGGTTTCGTGATTTTTCTTTTAAATTAATAAGATTTGTTTTATTTAATTTTCACTTATTATTCTAATATTATACAAAAAAAATATTTTGGAGAGTTGCTTTCGCTATAATCTACAGTAAATGCTCAGGGTAAATACAAGGGTAGTAAATACACAGTTAAAAATTGAGCGTTAAATAGTTTTGTTAAATATATAAAGTAAATAAAATTAAAGATTAAAAAAAAATAATGAAAGCGATAATCACATTGATTTAAAATTTCTTCCATCTCGCTCTTACGACCTAAATTAAAAAAAAAAGAAAACAAGATACATAGTTTTTTTAAATATTATTACATATACATATTACAAAAAATCGACTAGTGTATGAACACATTTACAATTAGTTACTTATCTATTATTATTATTATTGAAAAATCGAATAAAGGATTTTTTTTCTTGGATGATAGGTTTTTATTTGGTGATATGTTTATTGTTTAAATTGTTTTAATTTTTAATACTGAATATTTTTCAAATTATTTTTGTTTAGCTTTGTTATTGTTATAACAGGGTGCAATAAAAATTAAAAATAAAACAGAAATGTTGAGATTACTTGGATGGAATGAGTATTTAAAATCGAAAAACTCCGGTTATTATTAAATTTATTGAATGGTTTCTAAGAAATCCAAGTATTCATTTTCAGTCATTTCTTCTTTTTCATCGAAACTAAAATGAAATAAAAATCGATCAATTTTTTGTCTCAAAGTAAAAAATTAAATAACCTTTGATCAACGCTATTTCTATCCCTTTTTCTTCTTACAACCGGTTCACTAATAGCTTCTATACAAAGGACGATCAGCTTCGTATTACATGAAACTACCGATTGCTCCAATAGCTTCAGTCCTTTCAATGATCCTGCAAGTCCGAATTTATCCCTGGATCCTGCGTTCCAAGCGTCACAGGAATTGTCCAAAGCTCTCTCACCATTGACCAAAGCTCCATGCCATATCGATTTTGTAGGCCAGGTCATATCCGTTAAGACATTTTTTCCGTTAAAGGAATAGATTCTTGGTGGGTGTGAGAAAGGCGCCCCATCGCCTTTGAACATGTCTAACCACGAATTGAACAGTACTTCACCCCTCAAATTCGAAACGCGTAACTTCCTGTCCGACGGTCTTACGATTGAATCCACGTTCTGTACTCTCGATGAAAGCAATGCTCTAAATGTTCCTTTAATACCAGCCCGACGAGCTTCACGGAAACATTTCGAATCTGCTCCACTTACGCCACCTATGTCTCCGGTATAAGCTTCATTTAAAGATGCTAAACGTAGCTAAAAATACACAAAAACTAATTATTAAATAATTCTTTAATAAATTATCAAAAATTTACCATTTTTGGGAACCACTAAAATAAAAATGATATAAAAAAGTTATTAATTTTTATATTAGTTTTTAATAATAACTTACATTTGGTACTTCTGGCGGTTTATGAATATGATTAATAAGATTGCTTGCTTCTAATGGTGGTCTTATTTGAGGAGCTATTGTTGTTGGCGGAGCTGGAGTTGTAATGGGCAACAAAGATCCCAGCTTTAAATTAAATGAAAAATATTTAATCATAACTATTTTTTTAAATAATTAAACTTACAGCTATGTATTGCCACCCTCCATTTACTCGAACCAATAACGCTTGTTCCTCAATAACATAAGCTAAAGTTCCCACGGGACTTGCCATAGACATTTTCGTCATTGAATCGGTATTTTGGAAAGTTACAGCCCCGGGAACGATTCTCGATGATATATCTGAAGATTCCTTGAAAATGGGAGTGTGAGTTGTTCCTCTTCCTTTAAAAGTAAAATTTTAAATTAATCAAAACAAACAAGATAATTTTATTTTTAATTTTTGTTGTATTCTGTTTACCTAATTTTAGCTCTTTTAACTCTTTAAGAGCTTTCAATTCTTCAAATGTTCCTTTAGATCCTTTGATAAATGCAAAAAAAATATAGTTGATAAATAGTTGATTTTTAATTAATTTCTTTTGGGGCAACCGGATGAGAAATGAAAATATATAGAAAATTCATAAATATTGAGTTAAGATTATTCAGTTTTGTATTGGAAAATTTTGAATAAATAATTTCAAACATCAAATGGTCTTACTATCCGTGCTAAAAGGACACCCTTCACATTAGAGATCGATATCTCGTTATAAGAAACAGAAATAAGCAATGCTGGGAGAGGGGGTCTATTCAATCAGAAAAGATGGTGGTGATGTGTGTTGCAGACTGGACGTCGCACCTTTATTTCGTTATGTAGGTAATATAAAGGAGTGACATCCAGTCTGGAACACACACCAGTATCATCTTTTCCGATTAGACGGAACTCCCCGGAAATAATCTGATAATGGGATCCGACAAACGCAATTTTGATAATTATTTTGGTTAAAATCGCGTTGAGAGAGAGCCGAAAATTGACATTATACATTGCGATGAGAAGAATGTGTAATGTCAAAATTAATAAACTAGATAACACAAACAACAGTCAAATAAAAGGTTTATTTTGTTTGATATATTATTAACTATATTTTATTTTTATCTACGAGAGATTTTTATAAAACGGAGTTACTACGAATTGTTGAGAGATTGGTAACGAGTTTGACTTCGTTAAATTTCTGGAAATCAGGAAATCAGAACGATGTGCAAAATAAGTCATTGTATGACCAACTAGAGATGCCTAAGGGCAATTTTCATGTATACTCGGCGCATACCGTACTATTCCTATTGACGGCATGAAAACCCTTCTGGGCCTTCAATTCCCTATATATCCTCATCAAAGGATCTAATTTATTGGCCTGTGGATTGCTGCTGTTTAATAATTGGATATTCCTAGAAGCGATTATCATTTAATCCATATGAAAACATATTATTCTTTCAGTTTGAAGGCCTAAATATAAGATTAGAATAAAATAAAACTACCGGGCTAAACTACCGGGACTAAAACTTCTTTAGTCTGGAAAGTTAACTTTTGAACATGTTTATGAAGAAGTTTTAGGAAAATTGAGATTAAATTTAGAAGGCAGAAAAATATAATTTCCATAAGGGAAGTAATGAGATTATAAAGAACTCTCGCAATGGCGAATCATACAAGAAGGACAATACAGAGAACTCTTGACCTTAAATATTTAATTTTGGTGCGGACAATTATCATTGGAAAGCTAATAGGCCAGGAGAGTTAAAAAAAATAGATTTAACCTAATTTTCGATTTTGACAGTGTAGAAAGGTTGAACACAAAACACTAACTTTCCCCAACATATTGAGGTACGAAATTTCACGTCGCAGAGGTGAAAGATGTTGATTAATCTTTGTCTATTGAACTACAGCGAAAGAAGTTAAAGAAGATATACCAAAGAAAAATGACAATCTAAAACCATACCAATGAACGATAATTAGCCAACAAGACCGGTTATTTCAAGGTATCTATGCGAGGATGAACCAGATAGAGATTCACAGTAGAGACATGAGATAACTTAGGGTCCTGTGACTCGTCTGTACAACTTAATTCAAAGAAGTTGCACTAAAAGTACTGAAGAAAGAGAATATTACGCAAAAGAATCGAATTCAGTAATTCTGAAATGGAAAGATAAGAGTGATATGTAATATAGAGGAAGCGGAAGAAGAAGAGGAAACTACTGCTTGACACAATCATTGTCAACGCTTATATTCTGTATAGAACAATTACCCATAATAAATAGTTGAAAAACTTCTGGACCAAATGGAAGACAAGGAGCAAAAAGTACCTGTTATTACTTAAATGTCCTACCTAAAGATAGACGTAGATGTGTGACATACTACGAAACAAGTTCCTTTGCATCAGGGAAAGCCACAGCACAAAAGATTATTTTGAGATTTAAGTTCCGTTACATACAAGTTTTATTGCCTTGCATGATCAAGCCTAAATGCACGGATATCTTAGACACGACTGTCGTGTTTCATGGCATCATCTTATTAATAACTGGAGCTATGTTTTTTCAGATTTTAACTGTAAAATCACCTTTATTTAAAGCAATTCGATGCCTCGAAACAGTTTTGATATATCATCGATGTTTCTAGCAGAAAAATACTTAATCTCGCAAGAGTATCTTTCTAAACTTAAAATTTTAGTCGCAAAAACGTTTTTTTCAGACCTAGGACTATTTCCAATATACTACTCGTATTAGGAACTCAAGTGTTTTCACAAAGCTATCCACTTCCTTTTAAAGTACTGGACGTGGGAGAAAAAACCTGGAGAAATACCCTTTCGTATTTAAAAAAATTAGTACGGATCACCGTATGGTCAAAAACAGTGTGGTCCTTCCAATAAATTATCTGTCAATCGACGCGCCTTTTTGGCAGACTCATTCTACTTGGCACTACGAACATCGAAGAATCTTCTTCCTTGTTTCCCAATCCTTCTGAACTGAATGCTTTGTAATATGGATACTCTGATTCCTTCAAAATTTATAACTTCACTTTGTGAGACAACAATTTCATTTTTTGCAACATACCAATTTTACCGATCTATCGGATCATTAAAGGTAACACAAATTTTATGCCAATTAGAAACACACACACACAGTGCAACAACATTGGTCACCACGAGATCATCATTAATCTATGCCCGTCGAATCATTCTTTGTGGATTATCCTACACCTCAGATATAAACGTAATAGGGATCCTGTAGTAAGATGACCTGGATATTATTACACCTACGATAAAGTAATTGTAAAATTTAACGGTATACATAATTAATTTGATCTTGCTCATTAAAGCTGATACACTTTTTTGAGAACATTTTTTCCTTAACTTACAATTTGAGCACGTAGGTTACATATTCCTAGGTGTAATCTAGGTTCATTCTTCTGTTACAACCTAAAGTCACGTCCTACTTCACATGTCGCCAGATCTCAGCTGTCTTACACGATTAGCAACTTAACCCACTTAATACACTTTAACACTTTGCCGCCCAAGCTTTAACCGAAAGGCCGTCACGCTGCCGTCGGCGAGATTCACGCAGGCTTTACTGCTCGCCAACGGTGATAAACATGTCCTCCCAGTTTATATTTCGTTTGGAATATTACTTCGCCAGCCACAAATATCACCTCTTTAACTTGATTAAGCACTACTTGATCTCAACTACTTAATGGTGTCTTTCCAATACATTTTGCTTATTTTGAATATACGCAATGGCTTACAGAACACGGTGAATACACAATCCAAATTTGGCAATGAAAAAATGAAGTCGTATAGGTTCCTTAGTTTAAAATAAATACAATAAAGCTCCCTTTGTTCCCTGTTTCATAAAAAACTCCTAAGTACCTATTACTTTTTAGTTATTCAATCAATTTCGCATACGGTTACCCCAAAAAATCGTTTCAGTTCATGTAAGATTTATCTTTAACTGTATCTATCGCAAAGCGTTAGTTTCGAATGAAAACATCTGTCAACGATAAATCCTTACGTACTCTACATACAAATAATTATGTTAATTAAAATTTATACCTGGGCGGTTATATTGAAATAAGCTATCTCCATAGGCAGGAATTCCTGGTTCTCCCTTAGGTCCGGTTATGGAAAGTCCGGGTTGACCGGGGGGTCCAGGAGTTCCCGGAAGTCCTGGAGGACCGGGCGATCCATCTCGTCCTGGTAATCCCGGATTACCGGGTTCGCAACGATCGCCTTTTTCACCTTTTAACTGTTGTATAATAAAAAATCACTTTAGCGGTTAAAATCTAAATAAATTGCTGTAACTTACAGCGTCGAAAGCGGAATCTCCCTTGTCACCCTTTAATCCTGGAAGTCCTGGCGGTCCTTGACGACCCTAAGAAATAAATTATGTTGTAATTACTCTTCTCAAACCAAAAAAAATAATGATATAGTTAAAAAGAGAAACTCATCTTAATTTATTACTTCAAGCGGATAATTAGTGTTACAAAAGGATCAATTTTCAAGCCTGTTAAGATATCCTTACCATCGTAGGATCTCACCTTTCCGTTCTACAGTGCAAAATTAGAATAAGAAAGAAGAAAATAGTACACCTATATAATTTTGTAATAAAGACTTACAGTAGGTCCGATATCACCGGATTTTCCAGGTGGCCCCATTGGACCAATTTTACCTCTTCTACCACGTTTTCCAATGTCACCCTTTTCACCCTATAAAAATGAAATAAAAAAAAATTGTTTGTTATTATTTTTATTTATTATTACAGACCTTCAACGTTATTATTTGTGCGTTTTGATCTGCTACACTAACAGGTCCGGGTGGTCCTCTTTCACCTTTATCTCCCTTCTGTCCTGGTGGTCCCAACGGACCTGTAGCACCATCATTTCCAGGTTCCCCCTTTTCCCCTGACGGCCCTTTAGTTCCAGGATTTCCATGTACACCTGGTAGACCATCTTTTCCACTTTCACCACGTTCCCCTTTAGCACCCGACTCTCCGACGTCTCCTTTTAATCCAGGCGGACCAACAATTGCTCGGGGTGTCTCTTTTTCGCCAGTGATTTCAATGGGAATTCCTGGCGGACCTGGGGGCCCCTGACTGCCGGGTTTTCCGGGGTCTCCTTTCTCCCCCTTCTCGGCGTTCTTACCGTTGGCACCCGGCGTTCCCGGAATCCCGTCTATACCGGGACTTCCCGGCTCGCCTTTTGAACCTTGCGGACCTCGCTCGCCGGGGAATCCTCTATCACCGCGTTCGCCTTTCGAACCGGAATCGCCGCGGTCACCTTTTGAACCTGTATGTCCTCTTTCACCGCGAAGTCCGGGTGGTCCTTGCGCTCCGGGCTCCCCTTTGTTACCTGGTACTCCAGGACGAACAGTTCCAGCTCCTAATACACCATCCTATTAAAGGAAGTACAATACATAGTTAATTTTCCTGAATTTGTAACTTTGATCTTTAAGAGAAGTATTAAGCGTATGTCATAAACTGTTAAAGTCTTGTTTAGCGAACGAGCGAGAACTGTTTTGGAATTAATCAGTTAATAAGTGTGTACTTAAGAGCGAATCGTAGGTATTGTTCATCTTTACACACTCGCAAATGGAAGACTTCTGTACAGCACCATCACTTCGGCGAACTTTGCGCAACTATGCCAGGTCGTATCACACTGCAAATGAGTTCAGATATTACGTTTATTGTTATAGTTTCTTGTTAGCCGCTCGCTCGATCCTAGTCTTTTGTTCTCATTAAAGGAGGAACACTGAGTAGGCAAAGTAAACAGTGGGGAGTTCTCGCTCGTTGGGGACATGCACTTTCTAGATATTCTTAAAGGGGAGTGGGGTAAAGTTTGTACAGCGTTGCACAAAAGTTATTCTCTACACTTACATATTAAAGATAAATTTTACGGCGAATAATTAGGTAGAAATTTATTACCTTAAATGGATTTCTTGGTTTCCAACTTGGCTGCATAAACAAATAGATTATAGAGATGTTTTGGGTAAATTTTAGAAGTGGGTACAAATTAAATCTTGATAAAAGTCTTATATGAATCATTGAATTCTGGAGAAGTTGTCATATAAGTTCCCTTAGATTTCAACTTTTCAGTTTGTACCACCAACTGAGTTATAAACGGAAAAGTTTTTGATAAACGTCTTCGAGGTTTAAATTGGATTTACACGTAATTCAACTTATACAAGTGATAATATGTTTGTATATTATACAATCATAATCACACATATAACATAACGATGTATAAATATATATGATATTTTTAATTTTAATTGATTACGAAATATTTATTTTTTTGTCAAAATAAATTTCTTTCTTAAATAATAAAAGTTAATAGAAATATCTTACATCGAAGTTTTCGAATTCTACTGGTCCTGGAGGTCCTGGAGGGCCCGGTGGCCCCGTTTGTCCCGGAATTCCATCTCTACCCGGTTCTCCTTTAGGTCCTTGAAGTCCTGTAGGTCCAGTCGGCCCTCGTTCCCCTCGATCGCCTTTGTCACCTTGCGGTCCATGATATCCTCTTTCCCCAGGGATACCCGGTTGTCCTGTCATTCCTGGCGGACCCGTTTTTCCTTCAGCCCCAGGGACGCCTGGAGATCCTGGTAACATTTTCGGTAGGACGAATGAACTCATGATAGACGACATATTACACGAACAAGACCCCTTTAAAAAGAAAATTTAAAAAAATAAGCTTATTTTCATTTACAATTCTAAAGGGATTTGGGATAATATCCTTGAGGATTAGGAGGCTAATTAGAGGTTTTAACATGAAAGCAGGAAGCATGTATTTAATGTACGACGTAAATTATGTGGTTAGATTAAATTTTAACACGAATACTCAGAAGGAACTCATTTATTCATATAAAATAAATGCATTGTTTTTGTGTACGCTTTATTTCATAATATCTCTTACGTATAAGAGAACTGTTCTTGTTAGTCTGAACTGTTGGTGGTGGAATTACTGATTGTTTATGACAGTATCGTGAAAGTTTTGCGAACGTGTGAGAGCATTGTCGTGTTTCATACATACAGAGTAGCGGCTAAATTTACTTTATTATTGCCGCCGTTGTATTAGTAGGTATCGTGGCCAAGTCCATTTTTGCCACGGAAACAACATCCGGAAGAACTACGAGGATTACAAAGTACACAACCAACCATCGCGAGACCTAATTTTGTACAACGCGTGCGTTCTATGCTCAATAAACTTTCCAAGTTTAATAATACCTCTTTCGTTTTATGTGTATATATTAAACTACGAAAGATTTGTTTTATAAAAATTACATAAAGACATCGTAATTAAATCAGATTTGATCAAAATATCGGAATACGTTTGTGTGAAATTCGTACGTAAATTAGGGCATTCGATGAATTAGTGTGGATATTGAGGGGTTTGATGTGGGTGGGTGAAAGGGGAGCTGCCATTAGCATTATCCGCGGGGCATATTTAATATTAGCCCAAAATATTACAATTTATGATATATGGCGTACACTCGGTGTCCGTATATTGAAACGCCGAGGTTTTATGCTGAATTTAGAACATCGCGGACATGGCAGTGAGCTATATGCTACATCACAGCTGTTGCCCGTACAATCCAAAACTGAAATAGTTTATTTACAACAAACGTATTAACTCTTACCTCTGATGCTATTGCAGATTCTCCTGGTAATCCAGGTGGTCCAATTGGTCCCGGTGGTCCCGGTGGACCTCTTATTGATTCACCAGGTGGACCCTAAGAGAAAATATAAATGGATTTTTTAAAACAAGATTTAAATTTTTCTTACTCTAGGTCCCGGATCTCCCTTTTCTCCTTTATATCCACTATCCTCTTTAGCGTTATTGTCAAAAATCTGGTTACAACAGTTCGTTTCTGCACACATGCAATTCTTACCATCTGGAGAAGGTGGAGGTGGTGGAAATGGAAATGGACTTTCCCCGTTTCCTGCTCTTAGCGTGGTCACGTCATATGCACCGCTTTCAGCCTGAAATAACAGAATTTTGTTAAAGCCTTAATTATTTCTTTTGAGTTCCGCGAAAATTTCTTTGCTTTGGTTGGATTCTTTACAAATTTTATTTTACTTACGTCTGGATAAAAAGTATTATCCAGAATATTATTAAAATTCATTCCTGTGCTATCATCAATTTCGTTTTCGTTATCATCGGGGAACCCCTAAAAAAATAAAGGAAAAGAAAAGAAAAAATAAAAACAACTAAATAATAAAAAGAAAATAAAATAAAAATAATTTTCTATATGTTACTATTTCAGGTAACATAAGAAGCCTTGCGGAGCTTTTCCCGGCAATATTCATAGTAAAAGTGCTTCGTGTTAGCTCGAAAGTAACCTAGTAGTCTAGGAGCATAACCTCTAGAGCCCTTTCATGTTCAAACTTACACTGGTATAGCAGCTGTGTTTACGACTTTTTCTTTTACCAGAAATTTCACTGGGAGCTTTAAAATGTTACGTACAAACCTTAATCCCAAAACAATGTACCCAACAAAATAAAAAAAACTAAATACATATGCTTCTATATTCCAATTATTTTCTTTTAATACAATCGTCGACTGTAAAAGCAATTCAATAACCCTTTAAATTTCAATCTGCTTCGGTATCCCATAGTTACTATAGTGACATACAGAGTTAATTTGCATTCGACCCAACAACATTAAAACTAACGCCGCCACCATATCTGGGCGAATGTGTTTATTCAGCCTCGACGGAGTGCTGCAACAGCAACGACCGACGACTTGGTCGTCGTCCAGTGGCGTACTTGTAACGAAACCATCAACTCGGGTTCTCCCTTTTGCCAACATCTATAGATCGCATGCATGCGTCGTAAATGGAAATGAGCCCTACCTGAGACATGAGATAACGATATTAAGCTGTGAATATTCAACCCCGATGGAATTGTTCGGTGTGCGCTAGAACGTTTTGATCATCAAAATTAATAATCAATGAAGGCGGTCAATTAGAATTCAGACGATTCAACCATCAGTGTAGTGTCAAATTAGGAATAATTAGTTTTCGAAAGTTAGGTACTAAAATTAAATCCAATCTATCTCGATTTTAGGGGATAATTATTTTTTTTTATTTAAATGTTGATAGATTATAAATACTAGATACATACATCAAATCCAATTTAATATTCCATTAAAATCAGGGATGGAGTAGTAGGATAGATGTGTTCTAGTGTGTTGGAGATTTGATTTGTAAATACTAAAATAACATGATTGATTGTATTGCATTTCGCTACTATCACGTTGCAGGGAGAATGGAACTTGGTGTACGCACGTAATCTAGGTCACGCTCTAATGACAGGGCCACTATGTCGAAACCTTTCAAAGCTTTGATTCTCTTCCGAGTACGCTGCGATAAACATCTCTCGATTACCGAGTTTAATAAGCATCCGAGAACCCTAAATTTGTCCAACGCTAATGCGTTGTAGGTTGTAGCCCACTTTTTGATGTGGGCGGTAATAACCTCACGGTGTAAGTATATGCACGACCAAGCCATTACACTCTTTTTATTCACTTTTACGATGCCTCGATAACGTGTCGAGAGAATTTGCTTTTTTTTACCCAGAAAATTTTGAGAAGCAAATTTTTATTTTTCAAGTAGACTCTAATCTTCATGGTCGTTGAATTAACACTTACCTTGAAACTGGAACACTGTTGACTTGCCATTTCAGGTTCACGGAATATCTTCAATTGGTCTAAAACGCCCTTTGGGTAAAGATAATTATCGTTAATATTAATGTGTTTCTTGTACATTATAGTATTGATCGACCTCATCTGCATATAATTATGTATATATTGTCACAGATTGTAGGAATTGTCTCTAAAGTTACAAACACCTATAGGTATAATACAATAGAATCTATCATGGTAGAAATATTTCACAAAAAAAATTAATTTCTAACTTGCTAGAATGATTTTGTGCTGAGATTATATAAATTTCATCTTCATACACGTACACTACATTAAATTGGGTACAACCTATAAGGTCAGAATATTAATATAGATATATATTTTATTAATTCTGCAAATGTATTTATAAAGCTGGAATGAAAAACTGTCTTGTTTCTTAATTATTCATAGTATATGCATAACGTATGGTGGGAAGTTGAGGTGTAGCTTTTATACCATCGTATAAGAGGTCTTTCGGGGTTCTGTTTACTCTTCGGAGTCAATCTTCGACTATCCTTCTATACATTCAACGTGGTTCTTCTTTTATGGATTTATTCTGTTAATGACCCAATTTTGCATCTTTATCTCCGCTGTTCTTATATTATGTATTTCAAGTAATTTGACATCAATGTTCGTTTCGTTGTTTGAGCTAACTTCTTTTTAGAAGTCCAGAGGAAAATCCATCACCTATTCTACAAGCTGGTTGTATACTGCCATTTTGCAACGGCGTGGTTCTTTTGCTATTATTAGAGATTTAGTTTTTGACAGCTAGATGTTCATGTTGAAATTTATGTTCCAACAGTGCAATTCCATAAAAATTATCTCTTGGGTGGCTGCTGCCAATGCAATTATGGGGATATGATTGCAAGTAAGAGTATCTCGTGCATGCCATTATGATAACACCGCTGTTCTACTCTATTTGAAAAAAAAAAGATATTAAAGCCGTCTACAAATTTCATATTGTTGCGATACTGATCCCTAACCCAACCCATTTATACTACCAGTAAAACAAAACGTTGGAGTGACATCCTGGTATGAAACCATCATCGTAAATTTCAAAGTTTATGTCTATTAAACGACACTGACAATTTTATATCTATGATCTGCAAGAAACTAACTGGCTGTGGAAGATAGTACATACATGAGACGACGAACACAGATATAGGTATAAACCCCATAGCTCCAATGTGGTTCTATGACTTCATCAAATTATGGTATAAATACATAAATTCGGCTGATTAAGGCGTGGGTCATTTATCTGGTGAAAATGGTGTTGTTTGTTGATGTATGAACTGTAACGCTTGAATATGTACAGGGCGTCCCAAATTCGTTGTCCACATAGGTTATCTCCGAAACTAAAAGATATGAAACACAAGTAGCCTAACATTATCACACTTCCTTCACGCTATAATTGGGGTTTCTTCAAGGTATAATTGAGATTTCAAAAGAAAACTGACCTATCCTAACATTCTTTCACGCTTTAATTAGGGTTTCTTCATGGTTTAATTGGAGTACAAAAGAGAACCGACAGACCTTCAGGTTACAATTGGGATTCAGAGGAAAACCGACATTCCTTCACGCTATAATTAGGGTTTCGAAACAAAACTGACCTATCTTAATATTCCTGCATGCTATAATGGGGTACAAAAGAAAACCAACATTCCTTGACGCTGTAGTTGGGCTTCAAAAGAAAACTGACCTATCCTAACATTCTTTCACGCTTTAATTAGGGTTTCTTCATGGTTTAATTGGAGTACAAAAAAAAACCGACAGACCTTCACGTTATAATTGGGGTTTAGAGGAAAACCGACATTCCTTCACGCTATAATTAGGGTTTCGAAACAAAACTGACCTATCCTAACATTATCCAATATTTTGTCAGAGTTGGTTGACATTTGTAAACAAAACTAACATAACTCAACATTTCTTTTCTGGAAGCTATCGCTCATTTTTTTTTTTTTTATCTAACTACGTTAAAACATATTCTTTGATATTTTGCTGAATCTGCGTAGAACAGGCAAAATAAATTACATGCATCAAGTTAAAATAGTTATTTTTGATACAAGATAGCGAAATGACACTTTTGCATCTGAGAACGAAAGTTTTTTTCTTCGTTCGAAAATTGTTCGAGAATAAAATGCATCGTCTAAGATGAAGGCGAAATAAAATTACTAATCAAACATATGGTCTGTATTTAATATCCTCTAATTTGCTGGAAAGCATCTGCGGTTTTGCTTCCAAATCAACTTTAAGAAATTTTTTTCATATTTCATTTATGGTGTTCGGTGATGTTGCTCTATGTCATGCCAATAGTCTTAAGTTGGTTTCTTTTGGTTTTCCCTAATGATGTACTCCCATGTGATTCGGGACATAATTTTTTCTTCACAGTTGTTTCTGTAAATATATTACGTATCATCGGAAGCAAGAACTGCCCAGCAGTTTAGAAAGTTGATATTTGGGGATGAACAATACTGCTAAATGAGCTGATTAAATGCGTTTGATTGGCACGAAAATTGAACAGAAGAATTCAACCATAATGTATTATGGTATAAAGATTTGCAAACAACTAAATCTGATATGATCTGAAAAGCATTGACACTATTTAATCATTGATTGATAGTTGAGTTGTTGTTCCATGTTGCAGAACTACCCACGCAGATATCGTAACAGATCACCCTAACCAGCCATAATGCTGACTTCAGAGTAATACTACTGCTTAGCAACGTAAGAGCTTAAAGTAGCAAATAAAGTATAGAATATGAGACAATATATCGGCGATTATATCGACATTTTCAGTAACTCTAAGCAGCTTCTCCGATTGAAAAGGAAGAAACAGACAGTTTAGCAATATCAACACTTCTCTCATGAAACCAAGATATAAACCGTGGAGCTTATATTACATCTCCATTGTGTTCCTCTTCACCGACTGCCTGAATTGCCTGCACTACTCACTAAACCACACTAAACCGCGAAGAGTTATAAAGTTCATTACTCCTTTGCATTTTGCCTTGACAGCGCGTAATCCAAATTAAAATGCAGTTCATATTAAACACCATTTTAGAATTTATGACATATTTGAAAAAAGTAAATGTTGGCGTTTTTTTTATCTCCATAAATAAACTGAATCAAACACAAATTCTATCTCAAAAAGTTAAGAAATATTCATTAATTCGACTGTGACTTTGACTGATGTCATTTTTGAAAATCTGAATAAGAATAATGAGATGAAAATGTAAATCGTGGATTATGGGGAGATGAATATAGCAAACCTTATCTGTCACAATGCTTTCTGAAACAAATTTACCAAAATTATTTAATAATTGGCACTTTACTGAATAGTTTGAAATTATAATAGTGTATCAAAATTGCTTTCAAGCCACTTCTAACTACTGCATCGATCCTTTAAGAAGAAACTCCTAATCTTGGTTAGACACGTCCTAACATCAGAATTGTCAACGTACTTAAAATTGCTTTGTCGCTTTTTATAATTGTTTTTTTTTTAATGCAGTATACACATAATGAAGTATATGTACTGTTTAAATTAAAATAAAATCTTTGTGATTTTTAATGAGATTACGACTCAATAGAAATATAATGTTCAGAGTTGATGTAGAGTCATCGTTAATTTTGCGGTCGGCTGTACTTAATTTAATTCGAATTGGTATATTCGCACTTTTCAATAAGCTTACTGAAACCGAAAACCCTATATGTATAAATAAATATAAAATAAATTCAAATAAAATAATCTGGAACATAAATAATACAAATAATATTATTAAAAGCTTTATTTATAGAATTAAAAAGTTTGTAGGGGGATTTCTTCTATAACTTTGGTTAGAATAATCATTTAATAAGATACTGCAGTGAACTGGTTTCATATATGTATCCCATCTTTCCTAGTACCGATCTTTCTTTGATTTTACTTTCCCTTTTATCATCAAATATCAGTAGTTTTATCAGGTAATGAATTACTTAGATGATGTTGTTTGTTACGTCTAAGATCTCTCTCTTGAGAACAGTTTTAAGACCCTCAAACAATTATGTTACAACCTGTTCCTGAATTTTTATAAGATTCACCTCGGCATTCTCATGAAAACACCAAGAAAAGTGTGTAAAGCTACAACCAAAGCCGATAAAATTCATTATGCCCTGAATACAGCAAGTAACCACCTGCATTGCAACATATTTCTAATCTATTTGAAATAAAATTTTATAACCTGGGTTTAATCCGGCGGAAAATACATTTTCCATACTAATTGAAGATAAGTCGCTTGCGCAAAGATATTTTTGTATCGTTTTGGTTGATTTAGCAATTGATGCTGAGCTAAAATATATTTTTTGTTGTTATGATGAAGGATACATTTCAAGCTACGCTTAAAAATAATAATGGGTAGCCATCAATGATTCATGAACGAATAGCAGATCGTCTGCCTGATAGAAGATATGATGTAGACGCTTTTCTTTTGTATGGTTCTTATAATCTCTACTATAAAAATTCACAAGGTTTATTTAAATGACACAGATTTCTAAGGTCACTTAATACATTTTGCTTAAAATATTTTAGATTAGAGAAATTAGGCATCGTGTTTATAGGTATCTTGATTCGTATCATAGGAATTGTTTTATGATGAGATGTACTTTGGTGACTGAAATGAAGAAAACTTTCCATCCAAATTATCACAAGCCTCATTTGAGTTCTAATCTTCAACAAAGAAGAAAAGAATTGTGCTTGATAACGAATACAAGACAAAGGTTTTAAGTTATTTGATCATCAATTGTTTATAATAAGACCTTACTTCTAATAGGAATTACGAACAAATGCGATCATTGATGCTGATCTTCAATAAACTACAACTTTAAGTAGTTTCCATTGGGTTTATTTGACGAAGAAAGAGTGCTAATTCCGCAAAATAGATTAACGACTCCAATAGATTACATGTGCTGAGTTTGCACAAGGAATTGATGGTAGAAAATATATCAATATCGTCAATAATAGCAAGGCTAAAAAATGACACCACTCATATCGAGCTCTTTAC